TTAAATGGCATGTTTTAAGGTTTCAATTACTAGGAATAAAATATTTTTCTTCCATCACTCTTGGTTTTAATGGATTGTTAAAAAGTTCCCGTTTTTTTTGGGTCACCCTGTATAAGGAATATTATGGAAATAAATATTGCTAAAAGCCATGATCTCTGAAGAAGCAGAGAGCCATGATCTCCCACGTCTTGGAAGGACACGACGCACAGACGAAGACGATTTCAAGACAAAATGATGGATACAATTTGCAACTGTTATAGCGTTATGTAGTTATCATATTGTAAACGAATTGTTTTTTCACGGAACTGAATCTGGAATTTCGGCCTTTCAGCGTATCTAGCTTGACGTTATGACGATGAGGATTTATCAATATGGCAGTAAATCTTGGAGGATCAAATTCTTTCGATTCCAATATACATATTCCCCGTTCTCAAGATCAGCTTTGAAACGTTTCGGCTTTGACCGAAAATTTGAATACTGAAATTCTCTTTCACTATTAACTCGTAAAAGTTAAAGCTAGATATAACTTAGGCAAACACACACACACACACAAAAACACACATACATACACACACAGAGATATATATATATATATATATATATATATAGATAGATAGATAGATAGATAGATAGAGAGAGAGAGAGAGTGGGAGAAAGAGTGAGAGAGAGAATGAGGTGACTGTTGCGCATGCGTCTTCTCTGTATGTTTAAGGCAAGCCGTGTATTTCTTGTTAGGTAAATAAATATACAATAATCATTTTCTCGTTTAATCATCACTGATATCTCAGTATAATGAAGGAAATTATTGGTTTGAATGAAATGAAAAATCTTGTCATCAAACATGAATCGAATGCAGCATAACGAACACGAATAATTACTGCACGCCAATGCGACACCCGGTTTCGCTACGATCAATCAAATACGACATTTTTTTTTTCCCTTAAAACATTATGATAAAGAAATCAGAAATTATCGAGAATTTTCGTCATTTCGTCTTTTGAATTGATGTTACGTATCTACGATAATATTCTAATGACACTTATTTTTTGCAATAACGCTGTGTGAAGATTTAATGATTTTAATACATGAATTACAACGATTCTTATTACTTAAGACCTCAGTGCATTTTTCATTCTGGAAAATATTAAGAAACAGGGACATTTCGATAGAAACAAATTTTTGCCAAACTGCTATGTAATATCAATCCTTCTATATGGCAGTGAACGCAGGAGAGTCTTTTCACTGACGAAAAGGAGACGAAGCAACAAAAATGTCGTTGTATAGAAGGCTTTTGAGAATTCCGTGAACTGAATATGTGAGCAATGACGAAGTTTTACAGGAAATGGAAACAAATAGGATAGTTAAATGAAAGAGACAGTTGAAATGCTTTAGAAACAAAGAAAAAAGTACTGAACTGTTATGTAATGTCAATCCTCCTATATGGAAGTGAATCCTGGACAATCCTTTCACAAATGAAGAAGTGGCTTGAAGCAACAGAAATGTAATTCTACGCAGGAATTCTGTAAATACTACGAACGGAATATATAAGCAATGAAACATTTTTTTTATGAAAATGTGGACGAAAAGAATACGTATAATTAAAATCAGAAAGAAGTAGTTGAAATTTCTTCAGTGTATAATGATAAAAAAAGGGCTTAGAGAATTTTTTATATATATATATATATATATATATATATATATATATATATATATATATATATATATAGGGTATATTGATAACAGGAAGTACAGGAGAAAACAATAAGTGAATTAACAATGGGACGACAAAATATAGCATAGAGTGATAGTAAGGATAAAAACAGTGGGGATATGTGTCTAAACTTAACCATAATGATTAAGAATAGAAATGACAAAAAAAAATAGACTCATTTACATTGGAAGAAAAAAATCATCGAACAAACGAACTACATGTTTTGTCGGAAATTGATAGATTGTAGGATCAGAATATTCGCCAACATGTGAAAATCCTCACCTGAAATAAATAAAATAAATAAGATAGAGTTAGCTGAGGTTTGCATTTAAGCATCTTATATAGGTGTAAACCCAATTCGTGGATTGGCATCATAAACAAAAATGAGAAAATGAAGAAAACGCTTTCGTTTATCAAAGTTGATATAGCGTCGACAGTGAATTGTGGAACATAATTAATGAATTATCAGTAAAGGAAAAAGCGAAAAAAAATCATTAAAAGAGTATCTCCCTTACATTTCCCATGGGGAATATTGCCTCTGGGTGAACATGCTAGTCTGAAACTACTGAAAATTGGAAGACTATCTCTTTCATTATTTTCCTCTCTACTTCCTTGGCAAATAATCGGTAAAGTTTCCCTACTAAGGACAATAAATGTAGTCAATTTAGACTATATGCGTTTTGCCGTTATCCTCTCTACATGTAAAAGATATCGAATTCGATTCTCAGCAATAAGTAGAATAGTTCAATTTTAGTATATTGGTCCCAAGAAGGCCGAGTAAACAAACGTGGCGACACAACAAAGTCTGTCGACGTTCGAACAGCGACAAAATCCTTTTGGTGCCACTATGATGATCACCAGTCGTATAAAGAGGTTTATGTTAGAACGACATCCAACATCACTATAGGAAAATACGGAAAGGCATGTTTGCTGAGATCTTATTCAGTTTTCTCGTCTTTACCGCTGTTATCACAGCCTTTCGTTAGCTGCATCCTGCAAGCTTCTTTCTGTTTGAATTTAATGTGCGTATTAAACTTTCTAAGCCGTCCTTCCTCATAATGTATCCTAGAAAGTTCAGCCATCTCTTTCTGATTGCAAGTATCCTTTTCCTTATCATTTTCATGTCTATTATAGCATCGATTTTTGTTAAATATTTCTTGGCTTATACGCCAGTATTTACTGCAAAGGTTATTACAAAATTTACAAATTAATTCTAAAATCTATGACGCTAAATAAGATGCATATAGATGCGGTAGACACCAAAACATTCCGTTAGATTTGGTCAAAATGGACATGTTCAAAATAACGATTTATCGTAATTTAACGTCATTGTGTTTGAGGAATAAATGCACACGTTCAAATGAATTTATAATACGGGAAAAAGGTAATTTTACGTTTAGTATAAAATCCATATAAGGCGTTAAACAAAAAGAAATCCTTGTTGGAATTATTATACTTATTTATTCGACCACCATCTTGGGATATCATTTTAGATTTCTTTTTTCTTTCCATGACTCTGAAAAGGTTGCAGTTTCGATTGTGGATCGCAGGAAGCCGTAGCATTTAGACTTATTTTTGACGCTAACCTTATAATTGAATTTTTCTTGTTGTTCTAAAAAAACGAAAAATACACAAAATAATATAAGCAGATTGCAGTGGGGATAAAATCAGTTGAATAACGAATCCCTGGAGACAGAGAGTGTTATCGTGACTTGCAAAAGGAAACGCCTTAATAATATCGTCATGTTTTTTTGGGTTTTTTTTTACTTTTATCTTTCAAATAAATGTAAAGAAATACTCACGTTATTTTGGCAACTAAAGCAGATGAAATATATTTTGATAAATACATAAAATATATATAGACACGTTTGAGCATACCAGTATAAATCACCATAGAGCGTTGATTTCTATTACCACACTGTTTAAATCTACAAAAGTTCTTGAGTTTTGCTAACCAACAAATATAGCAATTTGTAAACAATACTTACCTCTAAATACACAAACAATACTTACCTCCACAAACACACACGCACATATATGTGTGTGTATGTGTGTGTGTGTGTGAATTATTTTCAGAGATACTGTACCCGTAAAGGAACAAAATGAATAGGAAGACGGGAGAGTTAAATAATAGTTTAGCAAACTATTATTTTAGGGGTAATTTTATCGCTGCTCGGACTTCCCGAGGTTGATATCTGAGTTCAGATGGAAGACAAAATAAGGAAGTCGATTTTGATTGGTTGAGCCAGAGTGGTAATGAGAGAGATAGAATTTTTTTATTCACTGAGTCGAGTCTTAACCCTCAATGTAGACGTGTTTACTTTCGTGTCTGAAGCGGCTCCCCAGTCGATAGTTAGTAAACGTAGACATCGATGTGATTAATAAATAGTTAAGTTTAAAATTCCCTGTGTTGAAGTTCTTTTATCTAGCGATCACCGGCCGTGAAAGAAGAACGCAACTTTATTATTGAATTGACGCCGTCGCCCAAGAGCTCCCCAGAATGAGGAAGCAAAAGAACTAGAGGAAAAGAAACTATTTTTAACTATTCGCTACACAAAAATTTCCATGTTTCGGAACTTTAAAAATTGTCCCTCATAAGGCGATGTTAGATAGATAACTTATGATGAAAATGATTTATTTGGGAAATCAGAAAACAATTCGGTAACTTATTTGAGTATAAAAAGGAGGGGGAAGACCAAACATCCAAAATTAAAAAAAAAAAACGCATGTGTGGCTAAGTCCAATCAAAAGACGGATGAAAGCTAAAATAGAAAAATTGAAAATAAGGTCAGAAGGTGGGATTTGGTGGGTTATTTCCTCAGGTCTACATGAATTGACAATTTAGGTATGTCCACCGCTGACGTACTGTTGCGAATCTTACGTTAAGATACAGTGAAGTAGATAAAGAATTATATTTTACAAAAAGTTATTTATAAGGAATTACAATTTTTTATATTTTTTATACTCACGAACCTTCTTAAAGCGGCCGCTAATTTAATTAAAATTTTTTTCTATATATTGAACCTTAAATACGATACATATTATATTGAATGTGCAATAAAACATGGCATTATTGTAGTTGAAAAATCAAAAGAATTAAAGAAATATTTATATATATATATATATATATATATATATATATATATATATATATATATATATATAAACAATGGATATGTAATTGTAACGCAATTTTGACCTCCAGGAAGTAAGCCTTCTCGGATTACCGTTTTCCACTGGCATGAAAGATTACATTGAATAAATTGATAAGAATTCCTCGTGATCGGTTTACGTCCACATCACGTTGAAACACGTGTTCTTGTACGATTGCCGAAGTTAAGCATCATCGACACTGTTCAGTACTTCGGTGGGTGAGCGATTGGGAAAAACAGATGCTGTAAACTTGGACGCGCTGATAGTGTCATGGATAATGGCTCCGTTTTTTTTTTTATCGGAGAGTCGAGTTCTAATTCCAGTTGGGTTCGTTAAATTAACATGCGCAAGTATATTTGAATATATTAAATTAAGACAACTACACACCTATAGTAAATTGGGATTTCATCGCTATAACAAAACCTTTTAATCTTAACAAGTATAAATGTACCCTGTGCCTATTAGAAAAACGAACTATTCTTAAAGACATCGATAATCATAATCTCCTGAACAAGCGAAATGAACGTATTTAATGCAGCCACAGAAGGAATTCTTTCCTCAAATGTTTCGATGTTGGCTAGAGCAATTAATACCCTAACTGACCTGCCTCTAATATTTTTTTACATTTTTTTCCATATTCAGTTACTTCCCTTACACCATCCTATTGCTTAACGGTTTTTAACCTAGCGTTCCTTTTTTTATTTCGTTTTATTATTGTTTATTTTTTCCTTTTCTTTACCTTAAATCCTTTTTGACTACTCACGCTTTTTATTTGGTAACTGTCAACATTTTTAGTTCGTATTGCAATAATCTTATCCGTTGACTCAATACACATTAACGAATCAATATCCCTATTAAACTTATTGATAACTTCAACTTGAATCCACACACAATGTAAGGTTGCTCCGATAAAAGCAAAAAAAAAACGTATTGAACAATTCGTATCTTTTCTACTTGATGAGTGGCAAATGCATGAAAATCTAAGTCGTACTGTAAACGTCGGTATATGCGTAATATATATATATATATATATATATATATGCGCAGCAATCCCTCTTTTATACAGGTTTCAATAAAGACAACTAACAAGACGCTACAATTAAGCTTTTATTATATTTTCTTTATGGACATAGAACGTGTAAGAACTCTCCAAATAATAAGATTCAAGAGCTTTCAGTTAATATATTCGCCATTATCAAGGTGTCTTTTGTTTAACTGAATATATATATATATATATATATATATATATATATATATATATATATATATATATATATGGATGATAATCTTTTTAATTTACGAACACGATCAGTACGGTGTGGCCGTGTTCATATTGAGGGTTGACTCCTTCTTTTGTATCATTTATGCTTGCATTATTTTAGCCGTCTTTTGCATGTGATTGAGTTTATTATGTGAAAATAGAAATTAATTAGATCATATTTTTAATGGGTTTACGATAAACTCAAAGAAAAAGATTTTCAAACTTCAGGAAAAGATTTACGATCAAATTCAATTTCTTATTGTTACATATTAATAAGAGTTCGAGCAAAGGTAGAAATTTGTTTATTTCAAATTCATGTGTGAATTCAATGTTATGTTCAACCTTATTAAGTTTCATGACTATAACTAATAGTTTTATAGTATTAGGATATAATAAAAGAACGTCATCCATATATCTTACGTAAATAGAGTTTTTATGTATGATGTGTTTAAAAGGACCGGATTTTAAAAATTCTAGAAAAAGAAAAGCAAAAACTCTACTGATAGCTGATTCTTAGGTAAGTCGAATTTTTGCTTATAGAGATTATTATTGAAAGAGAATAAATAATGGTTACTCATTAGTTTACATAGTTTTATAAGTTTCTGGGCAGGTAGAGGAAGCTTTTCTTTGGACTTTTTAAGGTGGTTTCTCAGTTTGAGTAAATGCAATATTATTATTTTTAAATATATTAATTATTGTCTGCCGACCTGAATATTCGAGAAATCTTATTAAAGGAAGATCGGCAATGGCCTTCGTAGCTGAATTGGTCTGAAACACATCAGATTCAACGATGGTTTCTCCTGTCACTGGGGGACGCAGGTTTGAATCGTGCCGGGGGGAACATATTTTTCTTTAATAAGATTTATCGAATATTCCGCCCGGAAGACGATAATAAATATATTGTTTAAAAAAATAAAAACGGGGCGTCTACTCAAATATGGGTACCCATTAAAAATAATGTTTAAGTGATAAAAATCTGTCGGATTAAAAAATAGAAAATCCATTACTTCTTTATACACACACACATATATATATATATATATATATATGTGTGTGTGTGTGTGTGTGTGTGTGTGTGTGTCATCTGCAGACAGTACAGTTTCGCTGTATCACAGCTCCTCAGTGCGACTAGACATCCGAATACTTCAAGCCCGGAACAAAACCTAACCGATCAGTCAGAGTTTCTACCACTGAGCTATCTTCATTCAACAGAGAGAAACAACTAAACCTAGCGTATTGTTTTTACGAATGAAAACAAATGCCAATCAACCATATATATATATATATATATATATATATATATAGAGAGAGAGAGAGAGAGAGAGAGAGAGACAGAGACAGACAGACAGACAGACAGACAGACAGAGAGAGAGAGAGAGAGAGAGAGATGGGTGAAAAAAGAGAGAGAGTACAGTTGCATTTAGTATTATATTCTCTTCTCGACAATTTACCTGGTCCAATTGTGCAAAGATTTTCCCCTAAACCCAACTCAGCAAATCTGGCAGTAATGGCCTTGTATCGCGTTTCTCAACCACACGAAGCCTTTTCTTCGAGACTTTATTTATTTCTGCTAACGCCATAACGACGCAAATTTTTCCTTCAACCCTCACTGTTGCTATAGCAACCAAAACCGCCAACAACAAAACTACTGCTCCTACTGCTGCGACAAAACCGCGTTCACCAATTCTAATATTATTAGCACTACTTCATCCCAACAATGCAACAACCAGTACTTAAAAAATGAAAAAAAAAAAGCTACAAATAAAGGAAACTGCTATTTGTACTGCTATTTCTGAAGAAAATTCCGAAAATCGTTTCTCTTGGCTTGGTGCCCGCCGTTCAGGCAATTCGTACCAGAATCACGATTCGCCATGTTAAGAGAATTATCTACAATAGATCACATTCATATGGTATTCTGTTCAAATAATTTGTTACTTTGAACAGTTCGGTCTTTACAACTACGACTATTATTTGTCGAATAATTGTCATTCTCCTTTACTATACCTATTGGTATATATGTTCCTCCATTATTGCCACAATCTTTCTCAGTGCTCAAAATGATTAACTTTCTTTTTTTCTCAATCTAAAGACATTTTTGTTAAACGTTTTACTACAATAATTCAATTATACGTTTTGATAAAGCAATCTTTCAAGACGAAATTTTAAAATAATAAATTGGTTAAGAGTTTCATGAGAATTTTTATGTTTGAGGAAAAGAGCTACGAACAATATCGGATTAATTTTTTTTTTTCATCAACCTAGAAATAACCTCAACGATATGATGAAAAATATATTATCCAGTAATTAGAAAAGGTACAGAACGTAATGAAAGAAAGTGAGAAGAATGGACTAAAGTAAGAACAAATAAAAATAATGTAAGGTTGTCATCAAAAGGAACATTCCAAGATGTGTAACTACGGATTAGAGATGCCAAATCAAACAAGTACAACAATTTAAATATCTGGGAAATGTTTTAACAAAATATGTGTGACATTGAAATCGGAAGGCGTATTAGAAGAGCGAAATAATACGTCCAAAAATTAAATCAAGCTACTGAGAAATTGGAATTTTTCGTTAGAAACAAAGAAAAGTGTTCTGAACAACCCTCCCTTATGACAATGAATACTGGACAATCTCCTCAAAGATAAAGAAGAGACTTGAAGCAATAGAAATTCTCTTCTACAGAAGGATACTGAGAATATCACGAGATTGAAGTTTTAAGGAAAATGGAAAAAAAAATGATTAAAATTTCTGGGATATATATAAGAAGGAAATTGGGTCGGGAAAATTTGACTCTCTTAAGAAATAAGACGAGAAAGGTACCAGAGCGGAACATGGAGTAATTTTCCGAACAAACTTTTGTAAATGGATGGAAGAATACGGGGAGAGAGAGTGGTGAAAAGACAATTCTTACTAAGGGCTATAAATGATAGGAAGTTATGGAGAGCCGTGAACACCCACATCCCGAAGCAATACGGCACATCAAAGAAGACCATCTCACAAAATGCAGCAAAAATAGCAAATATAAACCGTGCAACAAAATAACATGGAAATGTTTATTTAAGCGTTGCATATATCTTCCTTCCAAAAGTTATTTTAGGCAAATAGAATCTTCTTTACGCATATTGGGGCTATTTTAGAAAAAATGTTACTCGTGAAGGGAAAACGTAATGTTAAAATTGGAAAGGAAAGTTGAAGGAGTAGAAAGCCAAGTCAAAAGTCAATGAAAGCTATCGTAGATTGGAAACTGCCCTTTCAATCTGGCTGAGTTTCTAGAATTGAACTCGGTTTTTTGCTGTAGTGACGTCCTGTCTGCAGCGTGTTTGGGTTTACGCGTTCCCTTTGTCCAATTTGAATGCTGGACAAGCGGTCTAAGCCTGTTTGTATATTTACCATTATCCGATGCCACAAACTTCCTATGACCGGTAATTGTAGCGGTCTTTCTGATTCAGAAAACTTTTCGAAACTTTCTCTTTATAATTTTTACAAAACTTCAGCAATTAAAAATATTCAACAATTAAAATATAAATATGAAGTATGTATCAGTTAGTAAACCAAAAATCTATGCAGTGCCTCTAGCTAATCGATCTCTCTTAATTACAATGAATTAACATACTGTAAAACGTAATGCACAAGAAGTAATTTTAAAGATGTAATATTAACAGAAAGTTATCTGTCGTCTATACTCGTATACAAATCATAATTGTTCTTCCTCCACGTTTAGCTAAAATAATGAAAGGCGACATAAACAAAAATTATATGTGGTTTATTTTGATAATATTTTGATATTATTTATATTAGTGTCGGGGAACATATTTGATAGTTCGAGTATTTTAAATGTAGTTTTGAATATTAATGATGAGAGATAAATTGTTATCAAGTTATATCACAGGTAACCACAAGGGTTGGATATATCATAAAATTGAATAAGCGACAAAAAAGGTTTAGACGTTTCATTTAACAAAAAGGATAACAGATATAAAAAGT